GGGAAACTTGATTTAAATCAATTATTTAAATCAGGGTTCTCTTGGTGATTTAAATTACCTTGATTTAAATCAGTCTACCCTGGCTGGGGATAATGAAGGAAAGGGAAGTCACCCAAGAAATGCTAAACACAAAAATAGGTAGGGTTTGAATCACTCTCTGTTTTATAACAAACTCTCAAATGGATTTTATTATTATTACTACCACCACCACCGTTATAGTCAACTCCAAGCACTTTGGTTTGTGTACACACAGAGCTAAGGAAATGTACGGAGACAGCTCAAGGGTTCAGAACATTGACAACCTCCAAACACCAGGAATAAAAAGTCCCTTGGATACTTACCCAGTCCAATATCAATCATGAACCTAAAAATGGAGTTTCTCCACTTATAGGAGCTCCTGTCATTTATACAATCCATGAGTTAGATATTAGCAAAACTGAATACTGAGCACCTGGAGTGCTTGAGTCAGGATTACTTGTCATTCTCCTTCCTTTTCTTCACACTTCTTCCAAGATATATTTGTTCTTTTTAAGCTTGTATAACCTATTGATTACTAATTCCTCTGAAAAAGCATAGGAAGTATGGACTCAATTCTGCAAAATATGTATACCCTGAATTTCCACCAATTTCAGTAAAATTGTGGATATGTCTACAGCAAGGTCCTATGCCAGTACATGCAGCTGAAAAAGTTTTCAGTAGTTTGTAGTAATTATTTTAGAGTATAATTTGCCTTGCAAACTTGGAAAGTAATAATTTTTATAAATGTCCATAATAAATCCAGCCATTTTATAAAAACAAAGTTAATAGTTCTGTGAAAAAAGTGACCTATTCCACATTAATATTTCCTGTCCAAGTAATTCAATGTACCTGCAGTCACAAATGTTTTTATACCATTCAAGCACAAAGAATTAAAACATGTGTAACATCAGGGTTAAAAAGGTAAGTATACTTGAAATGAATATTTTCTTAGGAATGTACCAGCTGGATTTAGACAGCAGAATATCAAATTTACAAAAGAGATAAAACTGTTCCAAGTTCAGTAACAAATGCTAGGTATATGCTCAGAACAGAACATATACCTATTTTTGCTTTCTACCAGCAGGCCAGGGAAGATGTTTCTAATAACTCCACAACTCAAGGACAACAAAAAGGAACAGAAAAACACTAAGGGCGTATTCATATTGCCGTAGCAGAATATCCTAAGTCCTGCCTACCCAAATCTGCCAAAACGCTTCAGAGCTGCAAATTCAGGCTCATCGCTAGCTCCCAATCTGGAACTCTTGTTCTGCCAGCACACCTGAGAACAGACCCTAGGATCAGAGAACAGACCCACTGGCAAACTTCTGTCTTTGGAGAACTGCCAGTTGACTCACAGTGGGGAGTATTTAACTGAATTCTCCTTGAGATCACCTGTTGATGCAGTAGAGATAAGCCCTATATGAAATGAGCTGTGCTGTAGAACACATCGAAAACACCATTTCCTAACTTCCCATCTTCCCGAGGACAAGTCAAAAACAGCTCATTTTGTATCTCCAGTCATATACCTAACATTTGTTACTATCATTCCTTTGGCAAGTTGGAAAAAACCCTCAAAAACGATTACAAAAATGATTGTTTGAAAGCAACACACACAACTGAATCTTCCTTTAGGTTGTAACACGCATCCTTCATGAGAGAAACTGGTGAGCAAACTTAGCTAAATAAAGTTTCCTGAGGATGTGCACACAGTATAATTCAGTGCTGTCCACAGAGATCAAAGCTAGTTCTTAATGAGAATCGAGTAAATTAGCAAAGTCCCATGACAACATACTTCTGATACTCAAGTAGCTCTGAAAACTCTCCACAATACAGCAATACTCTTACCGGTGCTTGAAATATGAAGATGGAAATTCTACAGTGTCACCACCTTTAGAATAAGGAAATCAACCAGCATGGAACTGTTGGTATGTGATATGGAACTTCTCCAATTTTAGTCAACTTGTTTAAAAAAAAAATAAAATCTCAGCATAAGGCAGTAAGTGTATACTGTCAACTTGCAACATAATTAGTTTTTTTAAAAGATAGAAGCAGTTTAAAATGTACCATACTGGCCCGAATAAGTGACTAAAATAACTCAACCCCTAAAACAGCAGAGCAATGTGTAGAATGCGTTATGTGGCATATTTACTAGTATATGAGTCAATTCAAATTCAGATTTACCCTGTAAAAAAATTCAGTTACAAAATTATTTTAACTGTCCTCCAACTGCAAGGTAAACAAACTTGGGTCAATGAGAAGCACAGGTTTATTACTGCTCTGGCTGGTACACTAACTTCTCCACTTAAGAGCCTTATCACACCTTACGGTTGGGGCATGTTAACTACAAGCATCCATACATTTAAACAGGAAAATGTGTGTCTAAATGCTATTACACTGTAGTAAAATTAGGACTTTTCAGGCAAGAAGCATTTCCAAATAGCATTAAGTAATATGTGCTATGTTATTGTGGGACTGCTGCATGGAAATAATGCCAGCAGCTCATTTGGCGGGACAGGCTTCGACCAACAAACAGCTGACTGTTGATTGCATGGCCACCCCCAGCCCTGTCCACAGGGCTGAGACTGTCATAAGCCTTACCCTGCAACTGCTCAGAAAACTTTTGACTTTGTTACGTTACTCTTAGCACGTTATACTTAGATCATAGTAAGCACTAATGCAATTTAAGCAGTCACATGGTAAAACTGTGACCTAAATATAAATCTTAGTACCCCATTGTAGTCTTGAACCAGCCCCTGGGAGATTTCAGGGTTGAGACCCAAAAAAACCCCAGCTGGTTCTCAAGTTTCAGCCCTGGGACTGCACAGGAGCCAGTTGAAGACTCCTGTGCAGTCTGGGGCCTAGGAGCCACAATCAGTGGATTATGGGTTCCTGCTCAAAGGCTCAGACACCAGAATTTTAAGTGAGATTAACATGTACTAAGTGTAACAAGTAACAGCCCCTTTATAACTCGTAGTTATGCTCACTATGAGCTAAATAAAAACATGCTCTAAGTGTAAGCTTCAACAAAGCCCTAAATTCAACAGGAGAATTTCATCCTACAGGTTCAAGCAAAATTGCAAAATCCTGAAAATATCTTAGTCGTTGTATGTCTGTATTTCAAATCCCAAATACCAATTTCTGAATTTAATACCTCAGAATGTGTCCCGTAAAATAAATTACAAGTGGATTATGTATATGGGGGGGTATAAATGTTTTGTAAACTTGTTTTGCTGCAAAATTACAAAAAAAACCTCATCTTTTTCTTGGAAAGATTTTAGCATAGGAAAGATACCAGCTTTTTATGTTCTGGATAGTCAATCTTCTTCTGCACAGAACTGCTATAGCAAAGACATCAAACATGCAAGCTTTCCCTGCACTGTTTCCAGCAACCCTTACTCCAAGAAGAAAACCCAAGATCCTAAATCAATCTCTTGATTGCATCTTAAACCCATTGATGGGTTACCAGTAAATATCATTGGAGTGTTACTGAGGCCCTATCTACAATAAAATAAATTTGTCAGAATCACAATACTGATAAACACTTTTAGTACAGACATAGCATACAACAGCAAACAAAACAAAAAAAACAAAACAAACAGCTTTGCCAGCTCAAATGCATCAATACAAAGGCTTCTGCGGGTATAAAAAGTCATTAAAAAAAGAAAAAAAATAATTACATCTAACCAACTTTATTGTACTGGAATTTTTTTTTGGTAGAGATCATTTCTTAATGAGTAGATGTTCAAAACCAGGACAAAGTACTGATCTTTTTCTCCCCAGCCCACACAGTTGTTTTAAAACTGACTGATGACTCATGCTACTGATCAAGAAAGCAAAATGCTTAATTATTTGGCTACAATTCTTCTCTCCCTCCAAAAAGAAACCTTAATATTACTCAAATCTTTATATACCAACTAGAAAAAATAGGTGTGGGGGGAGAAAGCAAAGGAAGGAAAATAAAAACCTTGGGCCTGACAACATTATTCTTCCCAGGCCTGCTCTGTAACAGATCTCAATGATGTTTTACAAGCACAAAGATCATCCACCCTGAACAAAAGAGGAAACATTACATTGACAAAACAGTGGAATAAAATCATATGAATTCTAAAAACTGTTAAATAATATCTAGTTTATTTTCCTAAATTATTTACCACAAAACAAAAAAGAAAATAAATTTCCCTACCCTTAACAAGTCTGTATTATTTTAAGATTTAAGAATTGCTAAATTTATATACCGTACGACATTCAGAATAAAGTCTAAATAGAGAAAATGGGAAAGAAAACTTTGGCACGAGCTGAAGCTCAGTTAAACAGTGCAGTCACTGTTAAGCTAACTGACTGTGGACCTTTATAAAATGGTTATACTGCATGTTCTGTCTTTTCCAAAACTAAGACTAGCAAAGCACTGTCTATGACCCCAACTGCTCTGAGATTTATAGTTACTTTTATAATTTCATTTTATTCTCCTTCTCAGTTTTGAACTCACCAATGCACATAACGTCAATCAAAGTTTACCAGACCACAAAATCCTCTAGAAAACATATGCTGCAGAAACTCAGAACTTAGTTTGAAAATTTATGACATACAGAGAAAGAACTGTATACACATACTAAAAACTTCCTTGGTTAACTTGCACTGTGCTTCATTTTAAGTTCAAATCTCATTTTGCAGAGGGATGAAACGGTCTTCTTCAGTTACACAGGTGCAAGAAATAATAAAAACCCATTGAGCTGTTCTGGGAATTTATTCTGGCTTTTTGCATTCCATGAGACCATGGAACATTCACAAATGCTAAATTTTAGGTAAGTTTGATTATATATGGTCTCATTTGTTTGCCATTTTACTTATCTATTAGATTTAAATGTAGCAAATGTCTCTCATGACATCTGATATTAAACAGATTTTGTTTTTGCTTGAGGGACACATTAACTAAGCATTGTACAGTGTGCTGACCACTACCAAAATATTAAGAGAAATTTTACTTTTTAAAAAGTTCTTTGTCCAGCATGACACCATCTGAAGTTGTTTGAAGGGTCAGTCTTAACATATCCATGCACTCTTTCAACCTTGGATCAGATGTACGCAATCCTGTAGACTTGAGTGCCTATTAATAAAAACAAAAACACAAACCCGCAAAATTACAAATAAACGTTCTTATAATTTAATTATCTAGTGCTCCCCTCTACTTGGTTTCTTCCTCCAGAGACATTAGCCTACGAAAAGGTTAATCAAATTATAGTCAAGTACAACACCTCAGTCTCTCACGATACTGTGCTTACTGATGGTACTAAGACACTATTAAAGTTTAAAGAGCTCAAAGTAGGTCAGCTGCTTTTTTGCAGGACCATAATGGGACTATATAGGGCTATGGTAGAAGACGAGAAACATTACCTTATTTACTCACATCCAAGACAAGGTCATCCCATCCCATACATGGGCTCAGGGCAGGCAGCAACTCAGCTCCAGCTTTGGCCCTGGGCTCAGGACTAAAGGTAGAGCTGAGCCACCACCTAAACTAGCCAGGGGGACTTTGGAGGAGACTGGGCCCTGCACCCATACCCCCTGCCAGTGGGGGTGTGGACAGGCACAGATGGGCAGGGGGGCTAGTGGCTGGAGGCAAGCATGGGGGGGTGTAAAACGAGACAGACACAAGCACAGGGGGAATAATGGGAAGGGGTCTGGCCCCTGGCCTGACACCGCTACTTTCTTCACCACAGCAGTGGGGAGATGAATTCAAGTCAACCCCGCACCTCCACCCAATAATAACTAATTTATATTTTTCTATATATAAATTCTATACATGGGAAATTAGATTCTAAATTCTTGGGAGGATAATCTTAAATTCAAAGTCATTTTGGATTTGGGTAAATACAGCACACATTCTTAACATGAGACACAAGAAATCCTACCAGAAGTCAGTAGTGGGGGGGAACCGATAGGTATCAGGCAGTGTGCACATACTACTTCTGCAGTCCTATATACACCCACAAAGTACTACAAAAGCCAACTCTTCATATGTTCAGGCTGTTTGTAACATTATAAAAAGATGAATCTGCCACAAAATAGTTCCTGTTTCAAAGCTCTGTCGCATTACCTTTGGAAACTCTAATCAGATGCTGCCACAACTGTCAAGTAGCCCAACCACCTGCCGGTGCCATGACTTCCAGTTTGATGACAGCTGCTCCTGGGGGAAGGGAAAGCTAAAGGAGCAACTCCCTATCAACCTCTAGCACAGGGGTGGGCAAAGTCTGGCCTGCTTCAGCCTGCAGAAGACTCCATTTCCTAGCAGCCCCCACCCATGTCACCGAGGCCAGTTTCCATGGAGACCCCAGGAGAGGCGGAGCTGTGACAGCATAGGGCCAGGGTTTCCATGGGGCTGGAGTTTACATGGAGGCCAGCCCCAGCAGCACTGGCAGAGTGCATAGCCAGGCAGGGAGCTGCTCCAGGGCTGTGACCGGGATTTTGCAGTGGTGACAGTGTGGTCCAGAGCCAGGTCAGAGCCACGATCTGCTGTCTGCATACCCCTGCCCAGGGCACATGGACAGCAGATCACAGCTCTGCCCCAGCTCCAGACCACGCTGTCACTGCTGCAAAATCCTGGCCTTAGCCCCAGAGCACCTTCCTGCCCAACTGTGCACCCTGACACCGTTGCTGGGGCTGGCCTCCATGGAAACCTCAGCCCCACCCCTCCTGGGGTCTCCATGGAAACCAGCCACAAAACACAGGCAGTGACTGTTGGGAAATGGAGTCCAGCTACCAGCCAGATCTGCCATTCTGCCCACCCCTGCTAGCAGTTGAGGGCACTTTCTAGTGTTCTAGCCAGGGGGCTCTGAATGTGTGTATACCCCCATAACACTATTTTTAAATGATGAGACTTTTTTAGCAGTAAAAATGAAAGTACACGTAGCTGCAGTTAGCAGTCCCATCAGTTGACTGCTGTGACAAGTTTGGAAAAGCAATTCAAGTTGTGGTCCAACATATAATAGACAAGTTGATGTTATATTCCTAACTGCTAATTGTTAACAAGTGCCATTTGTTGTAACACCTAGCTTTTGTGAATCACCCAAGAAGTAGAAAACTTACAGTGATGAACTTATGGACTGGTATTTTTTCTTGCCCTTCTGCAATAGTATAGAACAGCAGATCTTCCAAGCTAGGCAAAAGACCTTGCTTTATCTTACTAGAAAAAAGGAAAAATCAAAAACAAGTTAATGCACATACTTCAGTTTTTTTAATAAACATTACGCACATTTAAAAATAGATCAAATTCACTAATGAACCTTGGATCATTTGCGGGAAGTAGTTTCAAAGTCTAATTTGGCTTTCACCATAAAATAGTACTGTTGAAGTGGCATGCATGTTCAGTATTTTTACTACAGAAATGCGATTTGTGTTTTTACTATAGAAATGAGCATTCTAACAGCACTGAAGTCAGGTTTTGTATTGGGATAGGAAGCTTAGAAATGAATGAGCAAATGCAAATATTTATTCTATTGTTCTGTAGACCACTGGATCACATTTTCCTACGTTTAAAAAGTTTTATGGCATAGTAATGCATTTTGTTAAAAACACTGTATCACTAGTATTTACAAGCTCAAGTTAAAGCCCGGTATCACACAGGTCAACTGCAATATATCATACAGGGAAAGGAACACACAATGTTTTGTTTTGCTTACAAGGGATAGAGAGGGAAGCTTTT